CACTCAACTTATTAAATCGCCAACGAGGATCACTGATGCAACTCAATCATTGCTAGATGTTATCCTAGTGTCGTCGAAGTCAATAGTGTACCGAAGTGGAGTATTACTTACATCAATCAGTGACCATCTACTTGTGTATGCTGAACTTAAGATTAAGTCTCCTAAGCAACCTTCGCAATACATTACAGCACGTAGCTTTAAAAATTATGTACCGAATTATTTTGCAGCTGATCTTGCGGACAAATCAGATTGTCTCCTATCTATTTTTGACGGCGACGATGTAAATGCTAAACTAAACATTCTTAACTATGCGATCCAGTCTACACTAGACGTTCATGCTCCAATTAAAACAATTAAGATCCGTAACCGACCATGCCCATTTATTACCCAAGACCTCAGAAACCTTATGAAAGAGAGAGATCGATTACATCAACGATTTCTACGTACGCGGGATATTATAGACTGGGTCAATTATAAGAGCTACCGGAATAATGTGAAGAGAGATCTTAAGAAGGCGGAGAATGAGTATAACTCTAATGAAGTACGGCAACATAAAGATAATCCGGGGTCTCTATGGAAAATAGTAAACCGTCTTATACCATCAAAAGGAAAAGAAAGACAAATCTATAAAGGAGACCATAAATCTCTTGCAAATGATTTCAATCAGTTTTTTTCATCGGTTGGTGAAAATGCAGCAAGGGCGTCTTCTCGTCTAGCAGATACTAACAACATCAATCTACGAGAATCAATCGAATCAGTCGTTATAACTGAAATCAACCAATTTAAGTTTAGAGCCGTAACTTGCCACGAAGTACGTCGAGTAGTTTTATCGTTACCTCTCAATAAATCATCTGGTCCGGATAAGATTAACCCACGGATCATAAAGGACTGTCTTCCGGTCATTTTGGGTCCTTTAACGGAAATTATAAATTGTTCCCTTCGTACTTCTACTTTTCCTCTGGCATGGAAAAAGGCAGAACTTATTCCTATTCATAAAGAAGGTGACCACGAGGTACCCTCAAATAATCGACCAGTTTCCCTTCTTGTAGTCGCATCTAAAGTCTGTGAAAGATTAGCTCTTGAGCAATTTAGCTGTTACCTAACAAGCAACAACCGACTATCCTCCCACCAAAGTGGAAATAAAAAACTTCACTCGACAGAGACATTAAACGTTTTTATCACTGACACCATCTTAAAGGCCATGGATAAAAAGAAACTCTCAGCTCTAGTGTTGCTTGATCTCTCAAAAGCATTTGACAGTATAAACCATCAGAGACTACTTCATAAACTATCAAATGTCGGAGCATCCAAATCAACAGTAAACTGGTTCAGAAGCTACTTAACAGACCGTTTCCAATCAACCCGTATTAACTCTACGTTATCAGATCCATTACCGATAACTTATGGTGTACCTCAAGGGGCCATTTTATCGCCATTGCTCTTTTGTATATACCTTAACGACCTACCCTGTGCATCTTACAATGGTGATCTTGAATCATACGTTGATGATACGAAAACTTTGTTATCGTTTCCTTTAACGGAAGCTGACACTGGAATTAAAAATCTGGAAGAAGACCTACATAAAATTGCGTCTTGGTGCTGTGAAAACAATCTTTTGGTGAATCCAGATAAAACAAAATTCATGATCATTGGAACCAGGCAGCTGATGAACGAACTTGATGTCAATATTTCGATCTCTTTTATGGGGAAGATTCTAGAACCTGTTGATTTTGCCAAAGATCTAGGACTTCTAATGGACAGTCACCTAAGTTACGATAAGCACATATCGAATCTAGTGTCGTCCTGCCTTTATAAACTGTGCCAGATAAACAGAGTTAAAAATAATTTTGACAAGGGAACACTTACAATGATAATCACTTCATTAGTGATCAGTAAACTGCTCTACTGTTCCATTGTATGGTCAAATACAACATGCACTAATATAAAGAAACTTCAATCTATTCAAAACTTTGCATGTAAAATAATCACAGGATCCAAGAAATACGATCATGTAAGCCCATTACTCCAAAACCTTGAGTGGCTCACAGTTGACAAATTACTCTATTTCCGTGATGCCGTAATGACTTTTAAATGCATGAACAACTTAGCGCCGAAATATCTTTGTGACATGTTTGAGAAACGATCTTGTATTCATAATCGGTCTACGCGAAACTGCAACTCAATACAGATACCATTGTTTAAAACAGCGTCAGGGCAACGGTCATTTGCTTTTAGAGGAGCTTCAATTTGGAATAACTTAGATACTGAGCTAAAGAAATGTACATCACTTAAGACATTCAAAAGTCAACTTAAAGAACACTTACTGTCTACTTAGACTATAGACTACTTCCTATTTTAGACTATTAAAAACTTAGATATCAGTCATTTTTATTCCTAACTTTGTAGAAACTGTAAATATTTTAAAATTGTAGTTTTATAAAATAATTTTGTAAATGGGTTCTGAAAAACCCTTTTGGGAGAAACCATAAATTTTAATAATAATAATAATAATAATAACTATATCTAAACTAATTACTGGGAGCACCTCGCATGGGACTCTTAGTGTCCCGTTTGTGCTTTTCCGTTTGAGTGTATCTACTAATTTGTGATTTGTGACGTGTGTTTTGTCTTTCGTTTATCAGGTATTTATCTTTGTACCTGATATAGTACATATGTAGATTGCTCAATAAATTCATTAAATGAATTTTTGTCCTGACCCAGAAAAAAGCAGCGAGAATGAAACTATATCCCGTCTTTGTCCTTCTGCCTTCGTTCGGAACGAAGTTCACAGCGAATTTTGCGAAAATGTTTGCGAATTTTTCGTTGTGAACGAAGGCAGAAGAAGGAAGACGAGATATGGATTCATGTATCGCTGTTTTGTCCTGATCAGGATAAGGATTTGGGTCAGCATTCATAAACAGCTAGACATAAATCTCTAATCTATGTTCACGCCTTACCCTAAACTCAGAATACGTAATATAATATTAGTGCAAGACATGCAAAAATTGTCAACCACGGTCCACGTCGTCGTCGTCCGACTTCGTTCTCTTGCTCAAACTCTCTAATGTTGTCGGAATCTTCGTTGTGTAGCATCGAAAAAAGTGATACGGAAATCGGGAAAAGTGCTAGGAAAGCAATTGTAATGTTATTGTCCAGAAAAATTTTTTACCCAAAAAGATGTCGACCGGGGGGAGGGGGGAGATTTAAAATGTTGTGTTGTCCGCAAAATGTTTTCTTGCGCGAACTTTGCGTCTCGAGTCACTGGCGGCTTGGCCCCACCTGGGTTTTTGCCGGCCCCCTCTGACCGAAAATCCTGGCTACGCCTCTGCGAACATTTGAGGATTTCAGCAAACTACGAATATTTGAATAAACGGTTCTGGTCAACCAGTGCCTTCGAAACATAAGAAAATTTATTATATAGTAGAGAGTGAGATACTGAGAAATACACAGTGATATATTTTCCATATCTTCACTAGTGAAGATATCGATCACGTGACTTTTAGTATTTATACAATTTTTTGCTTGGCCTTGGGACTATATAATAAACAGAACATTACACGTTGGCTTGAAGATATGACATTTATTTTCTCGTGTTAAAAACATATTCACTCACTCGCTGCGCTCGTATTGTTTTCAAAATATTGTTTTCACCACTCGAAGATAAAAAGTCATATAATACCTTCGCGCCGCCGTGTAATATCCTCTATATATACATTTCATCTATTTGTCCGTTATTCGTCAAACAATCAGTTGGATGTTAGTTGTGACGGATGAACCAGGCGGGAATAATGTTCCACAATAATAGCCATGCATGCATAACAAAAAGAAATTTTCTAATAAGTACAGTAAGAACGTTTCTTCTTATACTTTAGATGTTACTTTGTTGACAAGTTTGCGACTTGCAAGGAGAAACCCTAGCTTTTGGTCATTTATTCGGCTGGCCACATGTACGCCATGCACACCTATTTTTCAGGCTTTTTTTTACGGATACGTTGATTGAGGGTTCTGAAGATGGGGGGGGGGGGGATCCCAATCCCATTTCCCACTTGAAATTTTGGCAAAATCCCAGTTCCAGTTGGATTTTTATTAGAAATCCCAGTCCGAGTTATTGAAATCCCAGTCAATAAAAACCCCTTTATTTATCGGTAGAATAAACAGTTTTAAGACCTTTTAAGCCACCGTGTGTGCAAGTGGCGGCCACTTTATGAAATATTGGGGGGGGGGGCTTCGTGCCGAAGGCACGGAAATTTTTTAAATTTGAATCCCGGAAATGGCATTTGCAGCATTCTGAGACACGCATAATCAGAAAACTCAGAATTCCAGGCGACCAAAGACACCAAAAACGGATCAAAATTGGGAATCGACCCACATTACTTCAATCCCATTCCCATTTTTGAGGACTTCATTTCCCATTCCCAGTGGCCAAATCCCAGTCCCAGCAACCCAAATCCCATTTTCCCAGTCTAAAAATAGATCAATCCCAGATCCCATTTTACCCCTTCAGGGCCCTCTTGATTGTGGTATTAAAATATTATTTCGCTGACCTCAGAATGACATTTCGTCAAAACTTTTTTCTTCAAGATTGGTTTAGAAACAAATTTGGCATATGGTTAGGTTAGGGTTAGGGTAAGGATTAAGGTTAGGGTTAGAGTTGGTGTTTGGAATAGGGTTAGTGTTAGTAAAACCGTTGCTTTGTTACGTTTTGTCACTTTGAGGAAGAAGACCCTGGGGACGAGGTTGTCTCTTCCGTTGATTGTCCGAGGGTACAATGTTCCGGTAGTACACTTTCCGTACGATTTAAATTCCTGGATAAATATCCCCGGTTATAAGCGCGCATAGCCTACTGGGAGGTTCTCTTTGATGTCCGCCATTGAAACAAGTTGGTAAGTTTACATTTAGGGTGAAAAGAATCCTTTAAAATCTTGCCGTATTTCTGAACATCCGTATTTATTTTGCCCGTTGTTTTATAGATCGTGGACTGAAGATTGTTTCAGCCCAAAATGAGGGACAAGGTTGGTATATAAGTTGTGTTTTTTTTTATGTTTTAGGTCATGAATTGTTTTACAATTTCTAACACGTTGCGTGACCATTTTTACTCAAAAATTTATTTTATTTTTATGTTTTAGTGGAAGAAGAAACGTATGCGAAGGTATGTGCTTGGTTTTTATCAACGTAAACATATTCCTAATGTGTAATAGTGTGTCTGTTAAATTGTTCTCGGACCTTGAGGCCTTAATAGAGTGACTTGGAGTCCCTGTGATGGTTCAAGGGCGATGTGTAGTTTAGAAAATAGTAGCTGCTTTGACGATTTAGTGCCAACATGTTCACGTTTTATATACTGTAATGTTAAAATACTAAACTTAAAGCCAGAATGTTTAGTTTAGTGCCAGACAGCATTCCATGTAAACACAATTTTATTACCAAAACTGCAGAGCCTTCCTTTTACCCAAATTTTGTGTCAAAACATTCTGGAATAGGTTGTTCCAGAAAAGATCCACACTCACCCCACAGAGGAAATTTCTGCTGTCCAGAGGGGGAGGGAGGAAACATTGTTTCTGATAATAGCAAGTGTACTAGGACATCCGAAGGGGGTAGGGGGGGTTCCAGTTTTCTCTGCGGGGGGATATGGATGTTTACTGGAATGACTCAATGGGTCGTTCCAGAAAAGATCCATACCCCCCCACGGAGGAAATTTTTGCTGTCCGAAGGGGGAGGGAGGAAAAATGTCTTAGGATGTCCGAAGGGGGGGAGAGGAAAAATGTCTTAGGATGTCCGAAGGGGGGGAGAGGAATGTGGATATGTTTGTCTGAAGGTTTGAGACTGTGATAAAGCCATGTGATCGGCGATTATAATGAGCACGCAATTTTTATCGGCTATATATATGCAGCTCTTGAACACCGGAACGTTTATGTAACAGCAATAATTATACGTCCACGTAACTTGTAAGCAAAATAAGCGGCCCACTTTTGCATGCATGGCCACCAAAAACTAACTCGCTGTAACAGCGTATCCTGCATGTTGAGAATGAGTCGAAAATTGACACGCTTTATTTATATAGTTTGCAGTTTTCGTTCGCCATATATAAGTTTGAATTATTCAAGTGTTAAAAATAATAGTTATTAAACTGTTGCTCGAATTAAGAGACTGCTATGTGAACTGAACTCAAAACAATTTGTTTTAGTATATAGTCAATAAAGCTTCCTTGCGAGGTGCGTGTCTAGAAAATAGAAATGGCTTTCATATTAAGGGCGAGGTTAAGGAATGCAGTAATACTAAAAAATGTATTAACATGTAAGTAAACACAGCAACGCTTGTCAATCAGTCGCAAGTTACATCGAATTTCAGTCCGAATTTTACTTGAACGAATTTCGAAGTGAATTTCTGCAAATTATCCGACAAAACCTGCCACGTGTTTGTGTTCGCAAGTCACAAGAAGCCGCCAAGTGTTCCGCCACGCCAGAGCTATTTGAAAACAGCGTAGAAAAGTCACAATAAGCCATCGCTAATTCACTCTACGTTGGAGCGAAATCGTTTGAAAACTTTCACGTCACTTTTGCCGTAACAATTTGAGCACGGTTTCTAAACGGAGCGAGGTGAAAACGGCGGAGCGCTTGATAGCTTCGTGTGAACACAAACGTGTAAACTTGAATGCTTTTCAGTTAAATTTCTTGGGTCTATTTGAAATATTTTGGGTTTACACGAGTGCTAATTCAATTTGTAAACAAACTGTAATGGCGGTAGTGTGAACACACGTAAATTCTGCCCGCATTAGTTCGCTCGCGCGTAGTGTGAACGTAGTCTAATTTTCGGTGACGTTTTCAAACGGCAAGGTAGCCTTTAGAAAAATTTAGAAATAGTGGATGTCCGAAGGGGAGGGGGGTAATTTTGGGCTTGGATGTCCGGAGAGGGGGGGAGGATGAACCATTCAAGGATGTCCGAAGGGGGGGAGGGGGTTATTTTCGATTTCCTCCGTAGGGGGGGTATGGATCTTTTCTGGAATGACCCAATGCAACTACATTCCTAACATCATGAAATGAAGAATTTGGAAATGGTAACATCTGATTGGTCTGCAGTAGAATTGTTCTAAAATTAGCTATTAATAGTTTGACATTTAAGCGGCTTTGCAAGTATAATCCAATTCATTTCTAGCAATTTATGATGCAGTGTGGATTATAATGGTCGGTAATCAGTTATTTGACGAACAAAATAGGAAATAATCGGTACAAATTATCAGGCATTGACAATAATATGTGTGAGTGCCGATTGCAGGCACATTTTAAAGCACTAACATTTTAACAATATTTAGGTCACAAAATCTAAATAAGATGTGTTTTTGCAGGCACATCTTGAATGTTAAATGGGCCCTGCAAATTATCAATTTATTAGCTCATCAATGAATGGGGAAATATTGAAAAACTGGCCGATCATTATTATTAGGGGGGGGTGCACACCTCTCAGATCTGGTCTCAGATCTTGTCATGCAGGCCTAGAAAACAAATTATGTTGTTGAACTTTTTCCTTGGCATTTCCGGGCCCTGGCCAAAGCAAGCAGCAGCACCCCCAGATATTTATTCCCCCCGATATTTATCCACCTCCCAAACGAAAATATGAAAATTCGTCTCTGATTATGACGTGTTTAACGTTTGTCAATCTTTTTATTCTAAAATGTGTGAGCTCTCTCCTTGATGATTTGCTGACTGTCTGGCAGCGGACAAAGTAACATATGACTATGTATATGGCTTAATAAATCAGTTCCGGTTCCAGCCGGAACTTAAAAAATGGTTCCGGTGTGGTGCACCCCTAATAATTTGTGGTCCCGGGCATATCCTTAACAACATCGTCATTCTGAAGATTTTCAAGTCATCAAATCAACATGAATGCTTGTTACGACATTGGACGAGTTTCGTAAAATCTGTCTCATAGCAGACACCAGACTTGTAAGGCTATTCTAAAAAGCTTCAATTTATTACAGTAATCAAGAACAAGCAAGCAAAAAAAACACAGCAGTATTATCAATTAAGAACTAAAACGTATTATTTAATATCAAAAGAGAAAGTGCTACTAAAAATAAAAAATCCTGTCTTTATCGTGGTCAGCGTTTCGGATTGCAGACTTGCAAAATTTTTTATAGTAAAATGACACGTATCCGCTAAAAAGCTTTTCGTGTGTTTTATATTACTTTTATTTGTCTTTTACCGCGTACAGGTAAGAATGTCTTTCAGACAATGGTCAAATATATTTCTTGCTGATCAAGATGAACAGCAACCTTGCTTTTTCACTGATCAAAAACAATTTCCTGCCGGTCTTTGATCGGCCGTTATTTCGAGTCCTGATGGCTGCAATATCTTCAGAAAATTTACGAAATTTGCCACTAAACAACGCCATTTTGTTTTTTCGCAAGCAGTGTTTCCACTTCTCAAAACTCAAATTTTCAGGAAGGAATTTTGCAAATTGATTTTTCCTGTCTAATTCGAGCCCTAATTTAGTTTAGTAAGTTGTAGTTGGCTAGATGAACCAGCCAATCAAATCGCTTGCTATTGAATCACTGGAACGAACTTCGAAACAAACATACGCATCACAAACAGTTAAAAAGAAGTGCATGAACCTGTCATGATACGTCTCAAAGTTTTATTGACAACGGTTTATTCGTCATCTCCAACTCAGCTTTTAATTTCAATTGCCCACGCACTTGTATCGTAAATTCGCAATTGCCGCCATACACACGTTGAATATCGATATTTTTGAAATATCGATATTTATCGAAAATATCGATATATCGCAACTGCCTATTCCAAATTTACAAGTAAACATTTGAAGTCATTATTAGTCAATTTTGTGGCCAATGTGTCGGGCAATTTTACGAAAAGTCGGGCAATTTTCTTTCCGCCCCCCTAATTTTTTCCTTCCGGTACGCCCATGGAAGTCAGTTTTGAAAAGCAAATTGAAATGAAGAGTAGTCTTGAGCTGAAATAGAGATTGTGTCGTCGTGTTTGCCTCCTCTTGCCTAAACCTGTCTAATGTCCGAGCAACTGTACAGTTGGTTGTACATTGTCAGACCCATGTGAAATTGTTATAATCCATTCTGTTGCGATGTAAAAAAACACCACTAGTCACATCACTGCCTTCCTGTTATCTTAAACCAAAGCAAAACCCTTTTCAATTTGCTTCTCACGGTCCATATTTTCCCATAGATAACGTTTGTTTCTATTCGTTGTTAGGCTGAAAAGAAAGCGCAGAAAAATGCGAGCCAGATCAAAGTAGACTGGATGCAGTGTGTTGTAGACTTGGAACAACTTGGTGTCACAGAGAAAATTGTCGTGAAGTGTGAACTAACTTTTGAAGAAGGATGTATGAAGCAATGATGGATAATGACAAAATGACCTTTTTGTTCTATGAATCAAACCTTGTCTACAAAATATTTAGTCCGTTTCGTTATTACAATAAAACTTATAAAAATGATTGATTGACTTGTGTTTAGTGCATTTATTGCCAGGGAAAAAAATTCTTGTCGTTGCCAAGGATGGTGCATTAACCCCATTAAAGTGCAAGACTTCACAGTCTTGACAAGTAAAATAGTCAAGACGTTAGAATAAAATTATAAAGTAAGTTGGGTATATTCATAGTGCCTGATTCACCCCTGCGAGTGACATACGGAGTTAGAAAATTTCCCGCCATTTTCATTGTTGTTTTTTAAAATGCAAATGGTTCTTTGGTTCGTATATAAAACGAAATTATAACATTGAAAATAAAACAAAAACATTTAAAAGACATCTTGAGATAAGTAAAATTTATTCTAGTTTTATGTTTGCACTATAATTTTAAAAAATATCGCTTTTATAATAGTCTTTGGCGTGCTTATTTACATGTCGTCTTTGTGTATTTTTGTCACTCTGAATAAGTCCATATAATAAACAGAACATTAATTACTGTAAACGGTTGCGATAAGATATGGATTTATGTTCTTGTGTCAAAAACAATATCTCACTTGTTCGCTGTGCTCACTCGTGAGATATTGTTTTTGCCACTCGAACATAAAATCCGTAGGTACTGAAAAATACACAGTGTGATATTTTCCATATCTTAACTAGTGAAGGTATCGATCACGTGACTTTTTCCAATCTGCTTTTGAGCATAAAATTTCACATTTTTTTGCTTGTGATTATATAATAAACAGAACATTATGCTGTGTCTTGAAGATATGACTTATCTTTTTGTGTCAAAAACAATATTTTACTCGTTGCATTCGTTCGTAAAATATTATTTTCACCCCTTGAAGATAAGTCATCTTAATTTGCGCTGCCATGTAATATCCTCTTATATACTTTTTATTTTATACCTAACCAGGAACTGTTGCAAGGAATGCAAAACCGAGGGGCATTTCACTCCAAAAATCCCGTACACTTCGTCAAAAAATCCGGAAAAAATCCAGAAAAAATCCATGAAATCCTCAAAATCCGTTGAATCCATCAAAATCCAAAAAATCCTTTAAAAACCACAGAAATCCTTCAAAAATCCTTCAAAATCCTTAAAAAATCCGCAAATCCACAAAAAATATATGAAGTACTTGGTGTAGTTTACTCGTAAAGGTTCTTTGCCACGTTCAAAATGGCGGACAGCGAAAGCTAAACGCTTACCGTGATCGCTGTCATTATATTTCGTAGTTATTGGACCACTCTACATTTCCATTTATACGCTCGAGTATACGCTAAGTTTTTTTAGCCTATTACTACTAAATATGTGTTCTTGTTACAATGACGTTATCACAGAATAAGGTACACAGAAGGCCGACTTCTTCGTTTTTCCTATGATTTTCCTATGATTTTGGCGTAACTCGTGATTCGTCATCAAATGCTGACGCCATGGTCCTAGCCAGTGCGCGTCTGAGAGGCATTCACCCCCCTGATATCATTCAAAATGGCGGATGTCCAGGGGGGGAATGCCACTACCTCTCAAACCCGCACTGGCTAGGACCATGGCGTCAGCATTTTGATGATGAATCATGGCGTGGCAGCGTTACTCGAGTCGACCTTCTGTGTACCTTATTCTGTGACGTTATGTTGTAAAATATAATTACAAAACCATTGTCTATATAAAAAGTTTATATTCATCATTGTCTTTTACTGTTTTTGAAAGAATAATGAACTTGTTTGAATTTTAAACAAAATGACTGCATGCCTAGCCTTCGTTAGTTTCTGAAGGCTGTGGTCCTAGTCCCAGTCCTCCGCTCGACCCTGACGTCCTGGCATAACGTCACAGATGAGGTAGGTACAGATGTGAATCTTCCGTCAAATTGCTGATTGTTTTGTGTCACACGGAATTCTCACTTCCGGCGAGCGCTGGCAAGTGTCGTTCTGAAATTTAATAAGGAAAGAGATAGGAAAACGCCGTTCGAAAGACGAAAAATTGTTTTTTTTAAAAATCTACGCTACCGACGGCTATTTTTGGAATTAATTCTTCAAGAGTATCGGTAAGCGATCACTTTTATCGATTTCTTTTTATTAAAAGTGTTAACATAACATTTTGTTTAGCAAAAGTTTGTTTTTTTCCCTATCTATTCCTTATTAAAATCGTGAAATACACTTGCTGGGAATTTCAGATGCTCATGTATAATAACAAAACAGCGAATGATATAAATTCCTCAAAACATAACTCTCGCATAAAAAAAACATGAATACTTCTATAATATGTATAGTTTTATTTCTCTGCATTATCACAATTTAATAAAATAGTGAATTAATACAATTTTAAAGTTTATTTAATCGGTGTGACATAATTTGCCGTGAGATTCACATCTGTATCTACCTCATCTGTGATAACGTTGACGTTGTAGACGCAGTGAACTCTATATATATATATATATGACGTGACGCGCTTGGCGCGCGAGCAGCGAGTCAAATCGCTCCGTAAAATTACTAAATTTCGACCCTATTTCTACGACTTTTTGGGTTAAATTTATAAAAGAATTGTGGATAAAGTGACTATCTTTGGGAAAGTGAAGTTGGTGTGGTAAAATTTTAAGTATTGCTCTGTATTTTGTTGAATTATTTTTCAAATTGCAAGAGAATTTACAACTGGTTTATAAGCACGCGCAAGCCGGACGGTTGAATTTGGCGTGCGCATACGACTACGTGATAAGTTTGCGCGCGTGATTCAAAGGACGATCTTACGAACTGTGTTCGACTCGAGCGCGTGCGGAATTACGGTCATCTATTAGAACAATTATATGAATAACTAGTGACTTAATTATAACTTTTCGGAAAATACGAATTAAAATGCTTAAAACCCACCAAACTTTCGCCAAATCAGCATCATTGTGGACTGTGTGTCTCGTGGTGTCCTTCTGGCTGTCAACAAGATCTAAACCTGATGTGAACATTATCGAAAATTCAACTGGAAAAGGCATTCTTATTTCCCCGGAACTTGCCATCTTACCGGACAAACTGTGCTTTATCTGGGCTTCTACGCGTGATAGAAAGTTACGAAAGTTTGCTCTTCCCGACAAACATCGTTACGGACTGGAGTTTCACATTTCTCGCAAATGTTCTCACGTTGTGCTACTTATTCTCCTTGCTGGCGACATAGCAACCAACCCAGGTCCTACAACTGGTTCACGTGAAACAGACAATTCAAAAACTAGTCCCGGGTTAAAAGTTCTGTATTTAAATGCCAGAAGTCTAAAAGCATTTGTTCATCCAATTGGGGACAAATCGGTAAAAGTTTGTAAAATCTCGTTATTGCAACAACTGACATATGGTGGTAATTACGACGTTGTATGTGTGTGTGAGACCTGGTTAAACAATTTAATCTTAAGCAGTGAGATCTTGCCTAATTATGGATCTATCTTCCGATGTGACAGAGCTGACAGAATTGGTGGTGGTGTTCTTGTTGCTGTGAAGACTGGTATACAAGTCACACGCAGACATGATCTAGAACCTGATAATACGGAACTTGTTGTTACTGAGTTAATGAAATCTAACAACAAACCAATTATACTTTACACGTTTTATCGTCCCCCCGACTCTAAACCCGATGTCCTTCAGCAGCTAAATTATTCTATCCAAAACAACCCAGAATCAAGTCGTATTGTGTTGATAGGCGATTTTAATCTACCATCAGTTAAATGGTCGTCTGATCAGAAAACCCCCATCAACATCGGAGGACCTGCTGAGAATGAAATCTTTTGCGATTTGGTAGACGACAACTTCCTTCTGCAATACATACTTGGCCCTACCCATACTGCTGGGATAAACTCGATCTGTTGATGTGTAACTCTCCTGAAATCGTCGGCGACGTCTCCGTTCTCCATCCCGAGACCTGTGGTTTCCCAACAGATCACTACATCGTGGAATTTGACGTGAAGTTGAAGTTTAAACGAGCCAAGCCAATAAAGCGCCGAGTATTCGACTATGGAAAAGGATATTTCGATGAGCTACGTAACTTCCTGACACGATATCCCATCAATGTTACCCCAACTGATAGCATTAATGATGACTGGGAACAATGGAAGGACACATTCTTAACTGCTGTGAGAAGGTACATTCCGATGAGAACTGTCAAAGACAAAAATAGTCCACCATGGATCGATAAAGAAGTGCGTCAACTAATCCGTAAGAAGTACAAAGTTCTAAAACAATACCGCAGGAACAAATCTGCTGATCGAAAGCGTAAATTACGAAGCGTTACTCAACAAATCAAATA